ACAGGGGAGCAGCAGGTGAGAAGCTCTCTGGCCTGAAAGTTAAGGCGCCTGCCTGTGTTTTAGTTGTGTCTCTGCCATTTTTTTGTGAGCTATGTGTCATTGTGCAAATTATTTGTTCTCTCAGAGACTGATTTTATCTTCCCAGAAATGCTGTATTGCTGCACACAGTCAGCACTGGCTAAATGTCTGTTAAATTAATACTCAATAAATGAGCGATTAAAGTGACTTGCCCAAGGTCAACCTCAGGGTGAGCTGTTCCAGAGCCCTCAGGGGTCCCGATGGAGCCCGATGCTCTGCCCGGCTTAACATGTAGTAAGGAAGGGCTTCTCTTATTTCCCTGTGCTTCACTTACCAGCCTCAGCAATCTGCACACTTCACGGAGGATCTGTTTTCGGTTCTTCATGGAGCATAGCACCATGGTGCAGACTATCACAGCCACAAAACTGTCAGCCACCTGATGCGTGTTCTCCCTGGTAGCCACCAAGAAGCACTAAAATTGAAGTGTCAGTTCTCAGCAGTACTTTTGAATAAGAGATTCTCAAAGTTGGGGTTGGGATCATCAGTACAGGTCATCTGCCAGGTGGATAGAACTTGAAGTTCATCCCAGTGCCAGAGCCTACCTCTAGCAGAGAGAGGTTCCCAGAGGGCCCCACAAAGTCCTGCAGGTTGCCTAAGAGGCCATCTGGTCTTTGTACTTCACAGAGAACCTTACCAAGAAGTAGGGAAACCATTTTTTGGATATCTAGTTCCACAAGCCCAGAAAGTTCAGGCAGGACATGGAAAAGCCAGCATGCAGATGACCAGAAAGGGAAAAGAGGGATGTATACAACAAGTACCCAGAATCATGGGGATGAGGAAGAGGCCAGGGGTGGTAGAATCTCCTACCCCCAGGACCATATAGTTGTCAAATGGGGGACAAATCAAGGGCAGTGGTGTCCTGAGTCCTGTTTTCCTTGGACCCTGTTATGGTTTGGAAGTGAGGTGTCCCCCAGAAGCTCATGTGAGAGAATGTGAGAGGTTCACGCCAGTCTTAATCCAATCAGTGAATTGATGGTTGATAGGATTAACTGGGTAATGATTGGAGGCAGGTGGAGTATGGCTGGAGGAGGTGGGAATTGGAAGCGTGCCTTTGGAGCATATATTTTGTATCTGGCAAGTGGGGTCTCTCTGCTTTCTGATCATCATGTGAGTCACTTCCCTCACCACACATCTTCCACCATGATGTTCTGCCTTACCTCAAGCCTCGAGGAATGGCACCTGCTGTCTAAGACCTCTGATACTGTGAGCCCCCAAATAAAATTTTCCTCCTCTACAGTTATCTGGTTAAGTCTTTTAGTCACAGTAATGAAAAAGCTGACTAAAACAGTCCCTCAACAGTAAAGAGAGGTCCACAGCATGGCACAAGTTCCAATGATTGGCAGCTACAGTAATAACTTCAGTAACAGCTCCCATTCATTGAGTCTTGGTGATGCGTTCAGGGTTTTAAGTACATTGTATGCATTATCTTCTCCAATACTTAAGCCTATGAGAAAGACATTGATTCCTCATTTTATTAATAAAAAATCTGAGTCTCTCAGAGGTCAGCTATAAGGTCATGTAGCTAGAAAGAGGCAGTTTGAGTCAAAGCGGAGTCCAACCTACCATTAGGGTGCTGTGTGGTTTCACTAGACTTCAGATCTTTTACAGGCTATAACTGCCATGTGGACTGAGACCAGAAAAAGTCCATGGGCAGGATGATCTGGTATAAAGGACTCGGTAAAACTGGCCCACAAAATGTGTCTATCTTCTCCAGAAGCAGAAATAGCTGTTGTCAGAATTTCTAGAAGCTTCTCTAATCTGGCCTCTGCCCACTTGTGACTATCTATACCTTGTCCACCCTTGGTTCCTTCCTCCTGCCATGGACATGGAGGCATTTCTTCTGGGCACTATGACTGACCCCACCTGGACTCAGACCCAGCCCTCTAGACCTTGTTCCATTAATTAGCTTTAATCTCTCATATTTATGAGAGATTTTTATCATGTCTCTGCCTCCCCTCTGTCACCCCCAGTTACTCAGGTCTCACTGGTCATAATCATTCTTCACTTAAGCTGGCTTTCTGTTCAAGCTAACTTCCCGTCTCACTTTCCCTTCCTGCCAAACATTTTTGGAAATGGCGCTCAGCACTTCAAATTTCCACTTCTGCACCCCATTGAAACTGGGGCCTGCTGACATCTGACTTCTTCCTCCACAGCCTCAACTAAAGTACAGGATGATAACTCTGCCAGGAAGCTTGGCTGTGAGAAGGGAGAGGGAGCCAAAAAGGGAGGGTTTGACAGCATTAGGAAGGAAGGTAACCAAAAGAGCAGAATACCTTAGGAGGTGAGAGAGGCAGGTGTCCAGGACACAGGTGGAAGGATGGTGTGCCGCAGTCTGGAGAGAGGGAGAGAGGTGGAATGGAGGGGTTAGTTTGGGTGTGGGCAGGAAGGCAAAATTTTTATCAGCTCAACTTAATGTTCTCAGTGAAGAAGAATGCAGTGATTCTTTGTTGAAGGGGGAAGAGTATGGGGGTATCGGGGGGGGGTACAATGAAGGTCTGGAGGTTTTGCAGTAGCAATCGGGAGGCCTGGGAGAGGCTGCCAACCAAAGGCAGAGATGGATGCCCAGTAGCAAAGAGGCCATGGCTGAGCTATAGAATGTGTGTTGTGGTGACACTGATGAAGTTTTCTTCCCTGGGCAATCCACAGTTTAGAGCTGCAGGAGGGAAGTTCAGTGTTCAGGCTGAAGAGGGCTGGAGGTTTATCCAGGTGGAGGAGACTGTAGATAAGAGGTCAGAGAGTGAGGTCATAATCAAAATGTCCAAGTTACAAGGAAGAGGGTGGTGGGTGGGGAGGAAATGAACAACCAGGCTCAGGGCTGAGGTGCTGGTGTAGTAAATGAGCCCATCTGCTGACACTGAGAGACTTCGGAATGGTCCTGCAGTTAAGAACTCAGAGATGGCGCTGTTTAGGATCTAGAGTGTTGACTATAGGCAGTCAGAAGAAGAAGGGAGAAAATGAAACTTACTGGAATTGAGTGCCTCAAGGAACCCTGAGAGTGAGATGTGGGTGGGTCTGTGTGGAAAATGAGGGTGCCTGGGGTGGAGGGGAGTGGCAGGACTCAGGTGCCAGGGTCCTGGGTGAACATGAGGTCAGGAGATGGCTGTGAGCCAGCAGGGATCAGTCACAGTGGAGGGAGGCATAGTTTAGCTGGACTGCCTGAGCCCAGGAGGAAGTTTTAAAATTACAGATTTTACAATCAATATGTAAAAGTTAAAAACTCAGCTGGGTGTGATGGTGCACGCCTGTAATCCTAATGGCTCATGAGGCTGATGCAGGAGGATTGAGAGTTCGAAGCCAGCCTTAGCAACTTAGCGAGGTCCTAAGCAACTCAAAAAGACCCTGTCTGTAAATAAAATATAAAAAAGGGCTGGGAATGTGGCTCAGTGGTTAAGGACTTCTGAGTTCATTCAGACAAACACACACACACACACACACACACACACACACATGTATACACACACACCAACCACAACAAAAACCCCTCTATCAGTATATAAAAAGAATTTATTCATTTCAATAAATAATTGTTGAATGCATAATGTAGCTCAATTCATTTATTCAGTTTCCTATAGACAGACATAAAAGTTCCCAGTTTTTCAGGAATATAAAATAGCAGCAGAGAGCATGTGTATATATATATATATATATATACACACATTTGTTGTGAACATCTGCAGGATAAGAACCTGGCAGTGGAACTACTTGTTGAAAAGACTAGTACATTCATTTTTATTTGCTTTACTTATTCATGTAAGGGATAATGTCTTTGTAAATTTGAGACCTTTTGCCAACTTGTCCTCCAAAGAGTATGTACCAATCCATAATCTTCCAACAAAGGACAAGGCTTTCTGTTAAGCATACAGCCATCAACCGGAAAGCTGTCATTAAATATTTCAGTCTTTGATAATTTGACAGGCAAAGAAAAATGGCTTTTTTGTTTCTATTCTTGTTGTATATCTTTGAGTGAAGTTGAACTTTTTTGTTTCGTATTTGCTTATTGATTTCCTTTTTTTTTTTTTGATGCTGGGGATGGAACGCAGGGCCTCGCACCCACCTGCCTGGTAAGGACTCTACTTCTGAGCTATACCCCCAGCCCATTTTCTGCTTTTATTTTTTTCCCCCCAAGTAATCTGGTGATTCCAACTACCAAGGTTCAATCAAATCTTAGCTTTTCTACATCCTACTTGTGTGAGCTTGGGTAATTAAGTTCTTTGTACCCCAGTTTCTTAAAACCTGGATAATAATATTACATACCTGCATCATAGGATTATTGTGAGAACTAAATGGCTCAGTAAGACAGGACCAGGCACATGTGCAGGAGGCACATGTGTAGGAGGCACATGTATGGCATGTAAGCTGTAACTCCTAGGATTCACATCTGTTGCTCTTTTCTTTTGGGTCATTTATCTTTTTCTTATTGATTCATGTTTTCAGGAAAGTAGCCTGCTGCCTGTCACAGGTGTTGCTTCTTGTCCTTTATCATTTGACTTTTTTCTTTTAAAGTATTATATTCCATGAAGGAAGTTAAATGGCTTTTATTACGATTATATGCATTCACATTCCAAGATAATGAAAAAAAATTATTCTTTTTTTTTTTCCTTAAGAATGAGAAGATACGTTTTTTGGGACTGTACAGTGAGTAATAGTTCTGAACAGGAGGAAGCCAGAAAGAACCGCTCCCAATGAGGGCAGAACAAGAAGTTCCACTTGGAGCCTGGGCTGCAGGGGCCCTGGTGTCTAGGTCAGGTTTAGTGGAGCTGGGCAGGGCTGAGAACCTGGTGCTGCTGTTCACTGCTGGGTTCCAGAGGATGCAGAGGGACCGAAGAAGGAGGGTGGGAGGATAGCAAGTGTGTGCCTGGCTTGGTGTCTGTGCGGGGGAGGGAGGGGGAGAGAGAGGATGCCTTTGGGTGGGCAGAGGACTACTGGCTTTGTGGGATTAATTTATTAAAATACTGTCCAGGATCTTGAAAGGTGGTCTGCCAGCAGACAGAGGCATGTGGGATATGCGCATGCACACATGCAAAGCCTGAGTTTGGGTGCGAACTAGACTGCGAACCCCTGCGGGGCAGGAATTTGATCTGAGGCCTTGTGGTATTGGCAGCTTCTCAAGAAGCCCTCCAGAGGCTGCTGTGTTCAGGGCTGCCTGGCACTGAGTGGGCTCCTGGAAATGGCTGGGAATGTAGCAATCTGGCGAGGGCTAGAGCCTGCAGGAATGCTTCCAGAAGGGACCAGAGCCCCAGGGTGGGTGTGGGGCAGGACCTGGAATGGGGAAGTGTTGCTGGAGCGTGGAAAGGAGCTCAGGCCTGAAGAGCCCAGACACCTCGTCTCCTCTGTAGAACCCTCTCACAGTTCCCATTAGGTGTGGAACCCAAGGATTTGGTGAAGGAACTGTGGGCCAGAGAAGGTCAGTGACTTTGTCTAGGGTCACAGTGCACCAGCAGAACCCTATCAAGTCTTCTCAGCCAGGTTCTAGGAGGCAGGGAGGGACCCATGGGACAGAGAGGTGAGAGAAGTGGGGAGGGGTGAGAGAGGCCAGGATTTGGAGTTGAGGATGAGCCCTTAGGGTAAGGAAGTTGGAGTGTGTGTGTGTGTGAATTAACAGTTGGTCTCTTTTGCATGCCTAGGGTTTCTAACTGAAATGGAAAACCAGGAAGGACATTCCATTCCACCCTCCTCCATCCAAGAGCCTCCAGCCTGGCCAGCTCATTGTGTGGGGCTAGAGGTGGAGTAAAAGCCAAGGGGGGGGGTATGACAGGGAGTGAGTGAGGTGTCTGGGAAAGATGGAGGAGGGTCCTAGAGGAGGGGAGGTGAGCAACTGACTGGGACCCGAGATTTCCTCTTCCAGCACAGTGCCTGCAGCTCTCTCCACCAGGTTGAAACTACTGGAAATTGTCTGGTGGTGACTTTAGGTGAGGAGACATGGGAGGTCCAGGGCTTATAACAGGAAAATTGGGGTGGGGATGGGAAGGAGTATCTGAATGTGAATAGAAGCATCTGCTTCTATTCAGATGCGTGTACAAATATGTGCAACGGTGTATGCAGACCCTCCATGCACACACAGACTCCCAATTGTATAAATACACTCACAGATGTATCTATTCAGGGATGTGGGCACCCAGAAGTACACACATAGCCACAAAGAGTCAGAGATATACACAAGCATCCACAGATAAAATATGTGTGGAACACTGGGGAAATGTGAGTAGGGGGTGGAAGAGATGGGCTTCTAGGGTGCAAATGCCCAATGGGAAGGAGAGGGGCCAGAAGTGGATCCATCTAGTTTCTATGTGGAAATGTGATGTGTCATCTTGGATGCAGCTGAGGAAACCAGCTAGGTCAGGTCCATCCTGGGGTCAGATTATGCAAGACTTGAGCTGATCTTTCCAGGAGCAGCTGGACTTGGGGGGAGGGCGTGACAGGAAATGCCTTTCTTGCTTGTGGTAGGGGGTTTTGGACTCTGACTTCTGAGCTGGAGCATTTTTGTCCACCTCTTCCCTAGTCCATTACCACCTGGTGTTTGTGCTGGCCTCGGGAATCTGGATGCTCTTACCCCTTTGCAGAAACCTTCCCTGATACGCTGTAGATGGTCTCTGTGAAGTCAAGAGAGCGCTCTGCCTGCTGTTCCCTACTGTTCTCTGTGGCCACCTGCAGAAGGTAAGGGTGTCTACGGATGGCGTTTCTGCTTACTGCAGATCAACCCTGCTTGGATCCAGAGCCCGGCCGCCTTGGGGTGGGCGGTGCGGAGGGCGGAAGTTGGCGGAGGGGCCTGGCGGCGGAGGAGAAAGGTGCCTGGCGGCCAGCCCTGCCCCGCCCCGCCCCTACCTGGGAAAGCCCAGCACCCGCGCGGAACCATAAAAGGGACACAGTGTGCTCGAGGTCAGCGAGTTCGCGCACCTCCTCGTTCACCGCAAGGTCCAGCGGGGTCCGGCCACTATGTCCGTCCACTTCAGCTCACAGGTGTTCAGCTCGCGCTCGGCCGCCCTCCCTAGCCGCGGAGGCCAGGTGCGCCTGAGCTCGGGTCGCCCAGGCAGCCTAGGCAGCAGCAGCTTCTATGGCTTGAGCGCCTCGCGGCCGCGGGTGGCGATGCGCTCCGCCTATGGGGGTCCAGTGGGCGCCGGCATTCGCGAAGTCACCATCAATCAGAGCCTGTTGGCCCCTCTGCGGGTGGACATCGACCCCTCCATCCAGCAGGTGCGCCAGGAGGAGCGAGAGCAGATCAAGACCCTCAACGACAAGTTTGCTTCCTTCATTGACAAGGTGAGCCAGACAGGACCCTGCCCAGAGCCACACTGCCGGCCTCACCAGCCACCCTAACCAACCCTGCCCACGTGTAGGCCGGCACTGGGAAGCTGGCGTCCTTCTCTCTGTCCACCAATGTTTGGAGAATAGCTCGGTGGCTTTTTCCGCCCCCTTGAACTCTGTTGTTGTTAGTCTCCAAGCCCTCTCTCTCTTACATCAAGAGTCTCCAAGCCCCTCCCTTACCTGCAGGAATGTGTCCCCAGGTTCTGTCCAGATGGCCTGGAAGGCTGTTATCTCCAGTTCTATGGGGCTCTTGGGCCAGCTTTGTCAGACATCAGATTAGGAGATACAGAAGACAAGGCCAGGAGTTCTTTGCTCTCTAGGTCCCTTTCCCTGAGTGGAGGCTGTGTAGCATCAGGCCTGGGGGGGGGTGTGTGACACTCCCTTTCCAGCTGAGGAGACACTGGCTCCTTGAGATGCTGGAAATAAAGGCCTGGAGGGAGGAAGGCTCCTGGCCCCACCCACCTGCCTGGTCCTGGTGGTAGGAGGTGAGGTTACACCTGCCTTTGGAGATAGCCCAGTTGGGGACAAGAAGTGGCACTGAGGGACCCTGGGAAGGAGATATTTGGGAGATGTTTTTCCTGGTTGTCTATTGTTGCCACACACATGAGCTTCTGTGGGTGAGAGGGAGGACCACTGGAGGGTCTGAGCGAAGGGGGCTTCAAGTGAAGCTGGACCTAGGAACCAAGTGCTGTGGCCCTGCTAGACCCTCCCGGCAAGACCCCCTCCCTTGGGCGTAGACTAAGTGTGCCCTCCCTTGCCTTTGTGTACTTCCAGGCTCCTCCACCCCCATGTCCTCCTTGCCTTTACCTTTTGGACCTACATATCCTTCAAGTTCTACTGAAGCCTCCCAGGCCCAGGTTCCTTCCTTGCTATTGAGCAGCACTGTCTTATGGTGAACATTCAGGTCCTGGTGCCCTCAGTGGCTGATTTGGAGGAGGCCTTTCCTGCCCCCCCTCCCTAGGCATGTTAAGTGCTTCTTAAGGACCTTTTGGGCCCCAGGGTTGGGCATATGGGAGGTGCTCCTTTCACATTGGATTGATTATAGGCCCCTGCCCAAGGCCTTGCTGGAGGAGACAGGAAACTGAGAGGTCCCAGCCTGAAGGGAGGAGTGGCTTGGTCATCCCCAGGCCCCAAATACAGGAAGCATGCCCTTCAGAGACAGGAGGTAGAGAATGCAAAGGGAGTAAAGGAAAGCAGAGACTCTGAGACATCAGTGAGGTAGTCTCACCTGGCTCACACTTGAAGACACTTGAGAATCTTAGAGGGGAGGGCCAAGTCACCCAACAGAGCCCATGTTCCCATCACTGGTCCCCTAACCAGTGCCAGGGTCCCTGTTGGTGGGAACATGGACTCTGTTGGGTGACTTGAAACTCTCTTCAACCATGCTGTGGTGGCCTGGTCAGCCCCTTGAGAGTCTCCTCTTCCACGATTCTTTCAGGTGCGCTTCCTGGAGCAGCAGAACAAGATGCTGGAGACCAAGTGGGCGCTGCTGCAGGAATCAAAATCAGCTAAGAGCAGCCGCCTCTCTGGCCTCTTTGAGGCCCAGATTGCTGGCCTTCGGCGGCAGCTGGAAGCACTACAGATGGATGGAGGCCGCCTGGAGGTGGAGCTTCGGAGCATGCAGGATGTCGTAGAAGACTTCAAGAATAAGTAATGCTCCTGGAGTCACCTGCTCCTGGGTCCCTGAGCCTCTGCATAATCCTCTGGTTCAGGAGTCAGAGTGTGCAGTTGCTTAGTATGATATTCCCTGAAGGACCGGGTCTTTACTAACACATTCCCTGCCTCTTCTCTCCCCCTTTCTCCCTCCCCAGCCTCTGGAGCTGTTGGATGTTCTAGTCTTTTTCTCTTGACTCAGTCTGGGGGAAATAGCTCAGTCTACCCTCCCCTGCATGGTCGGGTGCTTGGAGAAGTTCTCAGGGGAGGGCAGAAAAGGTATCCTAGGAGTGGAGTGCTTCAAACTTGCATGATACTCACAGGTCATTCTAGAACAGTTCCCTTTTATGCAGGTAGGGAATTTGGAAACCTGAGAAGTTCAAGGACTTGGTCAAGATCACAGAGTAGGTCACTGGGATCTGGGACTTGAATTTTGGGTCCCTGACTCCCAGAAGTGGACAAAAGGTGGGAAGTAAAGAAGCAAGGAGGGAGGATGATCATCCTGAACAATGAGTGGGGTTCAGGGGCTGAGGCAGTTTGGTCAGGGCAGAGCCAGGAAGGAGGCTAGAAGGGGAGGGCAGGAAGGTTTGGAGGTCTTTGAATGCTCACTGAGCCCTTCTTTCTCCTTGAACAGAAACCAATGCCTGAGGCTTGGGTGGGGCCCCACCCCCAGCCCCACCCCCTAGCCCCACCCTGGCACACCTGCCAGTGGGCACTGGGGGCAGTGATTTGTGTTCTGTGCTCTCCTGTGGTCCTGTGACTAAGCAGGAGCAGGTATCTTGACTCTGATTGGAGGAGAGCAAACAAGGCTCTGCAGAGGGTCCCCCACCTGCTACTTCCCTGGGGCAAAAGTCAACAGATGAATCCCACAGCAGGTGGAATCACACCAGGCTGGGCTGGGAGGGCATGGTAACCAGCCCCTGCACACCCATCTCCCCCTACTCCAAAGCCCTCAGGTTACCTTCCTATGGGGCTGGTCTGGGCTCCAAAGATTCAGGGAAGGGCCCCTGAGTACCACTGCTCCCAGACCCTCAGACTGCACACCCTCCAGGCTCAGCAGTGCAGCACCAAGCCCTGGGTGGACAGAGGGCCTGGCAGAGATTTCCATAACTTTTTTTAGAACTTAAGTACAACTTTGGGACTGTGGATCCCCTGAGCCTCCTGGAGGGGCTGGACTCGCCCAGAGGTTTTGTTTCCCATCAAAGCTGCTTCGGGCTATCCTCACCTCTCCCTGCCACTGTTGGATGCTGCTGAGCTCTTGTTTCTAGACCTTTTTTTGAGTCCCCAAATAACTTCTGGGTTAGGTCCTATTTGTAGAGATTCTCCTAAGGAGAAGGGGCTGCTCCTTAGGAGGAGGAGGGATTGGAGGGCTGCTGTGGGAGTAGAAGGGGGGCTGAGGACTCTATATAGCTTCCTCCCTTTAGACCCTTCTTCTCTCCTCAGGGTGGGCTGAACCAGTGGTTAAGGCCTGGGCTATGGAGCCTCCAGGGCTCACATCTGGGGTTTGCCACTAAGTAGCTCAGTACCTGCCTCTCTGTGTCTTCATTCTCTTCTCTGAAAACCACAGTACCATCCTTCTAGGACTGTTGGGAGGGTGGAATGAGTTAGTGCGCAGAGAGCACCTGCAGTCCATAAGCATGGCTATTATATGCCGTCATTGTCCTTTAATTCACATGTATTTGCTGTCCCTCCCCCTCCACACCAAGACTCAAAGCCCTGGGAATAGTCATGCTCAGACACCTGTTTTTTTTTTTTTTTCCAGATGTGTCATTAGTAGAGGGTAAGAGAACAGGGTGGGTTTCGTACCTGTGTGTGAGGGCACTGGAGGTAAAGCTGTGCCGACACTGTGTCCCCTCCCCTGCTGTAGGTATGAGGAGGAGATCAACCGTCGCACGGCTGCTGAGAATGAGTTTGTGGTGCTGAAGAAGGTGAGCGGGTGGACAGGCTGGAGGGGGATCATCTGTAAGCACAAGGGACAGGGGATCATGGGATCTCTTACCTGAATGGCTGGTGGGGACTGGTAGCCAAGATCCAGCCTGGAGTAGAAGCCAGGCCAGAGTGGCCAGAGTAGCACGGCCTGCCCTGTGGGTGTGTATGTGTCTGGTAAGTGACAAGACTTACTTCTAGCCCTCCAGGGTTAGAGCTAAGACCAAAGGATGGAGGTTAGGGAGGGAGGTTTCAACCTCGAAAAATGCTCTATTGTAGCTTGAATGTTTTGTCCCAGGCAAGGGTGGTGGCACCTGGCCAGCCTGAAATATTTGCCGAGTGAATTCAAGGAGTAGTCTTGAGGCAAGGAGTTCTCTGTCCCTGGAGACATGAGAAAGGAGCTTGGCAGGCCTTAGGAGCACGTGTGAAGGCTTTGAGCTACATGGCCCTTACTCACTGAGCAGCTGGTGATTCCAGGCCCATCCACAGAATACAAGATGCCCAGAGTGCTGGGCCCTTGGAGATCCCAGGGTGAGGAAGAGTGAGCCCTACCCCCAGGAGTTTAAGTGTAGGTAGAGAAGCCCAGACATCCTCTGACCTGGGCTCCTGTGTGTGACCTGCCTGCCTCAGAGCCACCGCACTGCCATTTCACAGGCTGCTGGACCTGTCCCTTCTGTAGGAGGGGACCTGGGAGTTGAAAGATGATAAACTCTCCCATGCATTAAGGAGTCTTGCAGAGTAGGAGTGATTTTGTTCCAGATCACAGAGTTGGTGGCAGAGCCAAGGGGGTATCCACACCATAAAGACTTCAGGAACTGGTCAAGGGCTAGGTCTGGGGCTTCAGTCTGCTCTGGGTTGCCAGTGCTGGGAAGCCAGCTCTGGTCCTGGGGCCCTGTGGAGACTATGCCCAGCCAGAGGCCTGGAGGGCCTGGGGGGAGAGCGTCCCACCAGTCATGTTAGTGACCTGGAAAAACTGAGTTTCTTATTAGGCCAGTGGTGTTTGGCCCTGGGAGTTGGACAGGTTGATCCTATCATTATTAAATGTTCCTGTTGCTATGGATATGGTGTCCTTTTGCCCTGTCCCTTTACCCCCAGGATGTGGATGCTGCCTACATGAACAAGGTGGAGCTGGAGGCCAAGGTGGATGCTCTGAATGATGAGATCAGCTTCCTCAGGACCCTCAATGAGACGGTGAGAATCTTGGGTGGCTGACATTTCTCCTTCTGTGCCCTAGGCAGGGAGCCATCTGGTCCAGCACCCTGCCTATGGACCACTAGGTGTGTGTTGAGGGTGATGGTATCATACTGTTCTTTATTCTTTCATTAGGGTAGGAGGAGGGGGCTGGTAGCAGAAGGGGTAGGATCTATCAGGACTGGTCTTAAGAGACTTGGGATGACCTTGGTAATTTATCAGGTTGGGGGATTGGGTGGGGCTGAAAGGAACCAGAGGAGGCCAGGCTCTGACACAGTTCACAGGTGCATTGAATGGGACAGGCTGGGGATCCCAGGAGAGGAGGGAACGAGTGTCTGAGAGTTTATTCCCAGAGGGACAAGGTGGGCGTCTGCCCACCACCAGCCACCCTTCTGTGATTTTCTCATTCTCTCTCTCTCACCTATGTCCTGCCTGGGCTTCCAGCTCTTTACCTTTGTGGGAATTTAAAAACATTTCCATTGCTCTCAGCGTGAGTTGCTGGCCTTAGGCAGAGGGACAGAGGATGAGTAGGAGCATAATTAACATGTGGGGCTAAGAACAGACCAAGTTCTCAGTTCTCTTCAGTCTAGTCTTTGCCTGAACATCCAGCCTTCAAATGTCAGCATGTTTGTTCATTTCAGGGGCTGGGTCCTTGAGGCTACTTCAGGCAATCTAAGTTCAGTGAACCTCGTTGTCTCTTCTACCTTCCTCCTCGTCCTCCTCCTCCCCACCCTCCTCCTCCCCTCCCCCTCCCCCTCCTCCCCCCCTCCTCTTCTCTTGCTCCTCCTCCTCCTTCTTCTTCCTCTTTTTCTTCCTCTTCCTCCTTTTTCTTCCTCTTCTCCTCCTTCCTTTCCTTCTCCCTCCCCCTCTCCTTCTCCCCTCTTTTTTCTTTGAATTCTTTTTAGATATCTATGAGAGTAGAGTGTATTTTGACATATTATACACACTGGAGTATAACCTCCCATTTTCGTGGTTGAACTGATGTGGAGTTTCACTGGTTGTGTATTCATATATGAACAGAGGAAAGTGATGTCCAGTTTATTCTCCTGTCATGCAGGTCTTCTTACGTGTGGCACATGTTATATATATGTATGCCATCTGTACCTATATGCACGTTCACATGTACACTGTGTTTATATTAATATGTAATTGTTTCTTCTTATTGCAAAAGTAATGCATGCTCATTGCAAAGAAGAACAGAAAATTAAGTGAGGCATAACATGGAGAACAGATCACTTCTGCCTGTTGTAAAAACCCGGTGCTTGTCCTTGGGCTGATTCAAATAACAGAAACAAGGTTTTTGAGAAAAAATTTAAAAAAAAAATAGACTTATTGATATGCTAGCAGTGGGGAAGTCAGTGGATTAAGGTCCTAAAAGGTTGCTGTCCTCCTCACAAGGAGAAATAAAGGCTTTTAAAGGGGGGAGGGGGCTCAAGAATTGGGCTGCACATATAATTGTTGGTGGATGTAATGAATGTCCAGCTGGTGGCCTTGAGTGAGATGTTGCTCAGACTCACTGGCACTGATTCCCAGGTCTGAATTTTCTTTGTTCTTGTGGTCAGCGAAGGACATAATAACTTGGCATAGGATGGGAAAAAGGTTAACCTTGCTTCCCCTGCTGTTATGGAGGTAGGGGAGAAGAAAAAGAAGAGAAAAAAAGGAAAATAACAAAGCCAAAAAAGAACAACTCCCCCAATATAAAGTTTATACCCAAATCATGAAATGCACCCTGTTACATTACCATCTTTGTATTGACATTTCCAGACTGTTTGGTGCATGTATACACATGGAGAAAGAGAGAAATATTTTTCGCATTACAGCCTACTCCTGACATCCTTCCCCGTTGTAAACACAGCTCATCACCAGTTTTAAAGGCTGTGGTGCATCCCATGGGAATGTGATAGGATCTGTTTCGTCATCCTCCACTAGTGCTGTGCCCTGAGGGGACCGAGCACCACACTGTCCTGTTACCTCCTTTGATTCCTCCAGATCTGCTTTGAGACTCTAGGAGCCAAGGGTGGGCAGGCCCACTCCAGCCTCCCTTTTTTTTCCCCCCTTTTGCTTGTGCAGGGAGTCCCAGGGCAGGTGTGGGCATAGGGATGTGTCCTGCCTCAAGTCCACCATTCTGTCTTGTCCCTCCAGGAGTTGGCAGAGCTGCAGTCCCAGATCTCAGACACATCTGTGGTTCTGTCCATGGACAACAGCCGCTCCCTGGACCTGGACAGTATCATCGCTGAAGTGAAGGCTCAGTATGAGGAGATGGCCAAGCGCAGTCGGGCTGAGGCTGAAGCCTGGTACCAGACCAAGGTGTGCCACCCCTGGGGGCGTCTTTCCTCTTCCTGCCAGGGCCCTTGGTGGCAGCCTCCCTCCTCCCCACCTCATCTGGAGCCTTCAGGGCTGGGGGCCCCACTGTCTTGGAGGGCATCAGTGGTTAAATCTGTGGTGCTCTCTGGAGTCCAGGGAAGAGGACATGGGCCAGGTCTCTGCTCTGAGGGAGATCCTAGCCCAATGCAGGGACCTGTCAGAGGAAGTAGACATGCATTACTAATAATGAGAATTTGTTAAGTGCATAATGCTCGGCATAGTTTCAGAACTTACACAGGCACGGCGTGCTTACATAGTGCTAGGTGATATTTCCAGTATTTTTCCTCTGTTGACTTAATCCACAGAACAGCTCTATTGTGTGTACCATTATTATTACTATTGTAAAGATGAGGTAACCGAGGCACAGAGAGTTGAAGTGATTTGCCTAACTCCACACCGCTAGTAGATGGAAAAGCAGGCTCTAGATTCTGAATGCCAGGGCTTCTGATCTGGGAGGCTTCATCCTGACACATACTTCATGGAGCCAGGGCAGCTGATGGTGTGGGGGCTGAAGGAATGGGAGCTGATACGGGGGTAAGCTAGTGCTACTAGAGGCCGGAGCCCAAGGCAAGTCTTAAAAAGCAGCATAGAGGAAGTCTCTGCAGTGGTAAAGAGTCATCCATGGTGCAGGGTTGAGAGCCTAGGGATGCCAACAAGGGGACTTGAGTTCTGGCCTCCATGTTGTCATCGATTTGCTGTGTGATTCCTGGACAGTTCCTCCCCTACACTGGGACTCAGGCTCTGCATCTCTGAAATGGATGGTACTGGGAGGTGAACGTTGAATAATGTCTTAGGCTTTCAGTTATTGTCCAGCAGTAGGCCAGGGTAGGAGTGGGAAGAGCCCCAAGGTCAAAGGGAAGGGCCCTGGGAACCTTCTGTGTCCTTGCTAAGAGGTGGCTCAACCCCTTCCCCACCCCACTGCCCAATACTCTGGCCTCCTAGCATTGAGTGCAGATGGTTGGTTTTCTGATTGTTCTTCCCTGGAAATAGAAGTGGGGAGGGGCTCTCCTTGGTTGGGTAGAGAGACCAATCACCTATAATCATGGCCCACCCCTACAATACTTGTATCTGTGGCCCCTCCAGTTTGAGACCCTCCAGGCCCAGGCTGGAAAGCATGGGGAAGACCTCCGGAACACCCGAAACGAGATTGCGGAGATGAACCGGGCCATCCAGAGGCTGCAGGCTGAGATCGACAGCATCAAGAACCAGGTGGGGCTGGGCTCTCATCCCTCCTTCCTCTCTGCTCCTTGGGGCATGTGAGAGGCAGCCATCTGAGGCCAAGTTCTGGGTGAGGAGCAGAAAGGTGGAGGGGAGACTGTCATCCTGTCTCCCCTGGGCCTACGCTCTGCAGCTCACTTCTCAGGGCTGCTGGTGAGACCTTCAGGATAGAATGCTCTTGGCCAGATGCTGGCTTGGGGCCAGAGCGGGAAGAGTGCTGGCTGGCCACAGAGCCGGTGGACAGAAGCCTGGGCTGGTGAGCGAAGAGCCACCATCAGTTACGCCATTGGTACTGAGCGCTCTGCTTGCACCCAGCTCTGGGGCAGTATGAACATTTGGGAACCCACAGTTCATTACCAAGGCTCACAAGTCCCTTCTCACCCTGACCTTGCTTCCCAACTCACTCTGCTTGGGCCACACTGGCCTGCTTCCTGTATCTTGCATTTGCCAAGAGTGTTCACGATGCAGGGCTTTTGTACTGGGCCTCTCTCTGCCTGGAATGTGGTTCTCCCAGCTCTGTCAATGGCTGTCTCTTTCTCAACCTTGGGTTTAGGACAAAAGACCCCCTTCTTGGAGGTGACTTCCTCAAACACCTAGCCACTATATCAGCAGCTTGTCTGAAGTTCTTTGAAGCACCTGTCACTCTGAAATGTTCTGAATTATTATTAAGTGATCGACTGTCCCCATCCCCACTGGTTTATACAAATGCCTTGAGAGCAGGGACCCCATCTGCCCGCTTCTCTGTCCCTTTCTTCCAGCACCAGGCACACGATAGGGGTACAGATCTCCAACAAGAGACTGACTGAAAACTGGAAGCTAGGTTCGGGGTGGGGGTTTGAGGAGGGAAGGGTCCCCAATCCCTGGTGGAGGTGTGGGTGTGGTCGGGCAGCTCAGCTGGAGCAGAGTCTCAAGGGGGAAAAGGGGCGGGGCGGGAGAGTGCAACATCTTCAGAAATCTTATCTCCAGACGAGCTGGGGAATGGGAAGTGAGGGTGAGTTACACAGAAACGTCCTCACCTCAGAGCCCTGAAGGCCTGTTTATACAGGGGTGGAGGCTGCCTCCTGGCACAGATATTGGGTCATGAATCACCTCGTGAAGTGGGCCAGTTTCCAGGCCAGGAGGGGAGGCACAGAATCATGAATGGCGGTTTCCCAAATCTTATATCCTCTACCACATCCAGTTCTTCTCCACACAACAGGGCAGAACCAGGGCTCAGAGTCAAGTATCTATCATCACTAAGGGGCCTTGAGAGGATCTGGGAGGGGCCTCCAGAGGCAGGGGCGTATGGTCTGTGGCTGAGGGGACACCAGTCAGACAAGACAGGGCACTGAGAGGTAGTCCAGGGACAGAGAATCAGGGGGGTGGGGCTTCAGCTGAGGGAAGACAACACAAGGGTAGGGGATGGTTGATGAGAAGTGAGAAGAAGGAGTCAGTCCTGAGCTAGGGAATGGGGGTAGCAGCTCACTGAGCTGAACAAGATGCCTGGGGCTAGACAGACTTCCAGTAATAGCTGTTTTAATCAGCTTTCTGTCACTGTGACAAAATACCTGAGGAAAGTCAACTTAAAGGAGGAAAGCTTTATATTGGCTCAGTTTCAAAGGCTTAAGTCCATGGTTGCATGGTTGTTTGGGCCTACGGCAAAGCAGAGCATTATGGCAGGAAGCTTGTGGTAGAGCAAAACTGCCCATCTCGTGGCAATCGGGAAGCAGAGTTGAAGGGGCAAGAGTCCCCATCTCCTCTTCAAGGGCATGCCCCCAATAACCTAACTTCCTTCCACTAGGCCCCACCTCCTAAAGGTTTAACCACTTCCTGAATAGCACCATTAGCTGGGGACAAAGCCTTCAATACATGAGCCTTTGGGGGACAATCAAGATCTAAACTGTAACAGTGGGGGAAGAGCCCAAAGCAGGGGAACATTAAGGCCAGGTAGCAAGTGGCAGTTGCTCAAGGCAGACACAGGTACACCAAACTCTCCCTACCCAAACCCATGACCTATGGATATGGTATATGGAATGAGGGTCCCTCTGCCCCAAGTTCCCCTCTTCTGGGCTTGTTCCCAGCTGATTTTTATTTTGAAGGTTGTTTCTGGTTCTTGTCAATTGCCTGGCATTTGGAGACTCAACCCAGAAATCCATGGCCTTGGAACTCCTCTAGTTGGGGACTGGGGGACTGAGGATTTTGCAAATCTAATAACATTTATTAATACTAGCAATCATAGCAGCATTTTGTGTGTGTGTGTGTGTGTGTGTGTACGTATGTGGTGCTAAGGATGAAACCCAGGGCTTTGCACATGCTAAGGAGATGTTCTACCACTAAGACACCCCACCCAGCCCTCATAATAACATTTATTAGGCGCCTGCAGTTTGCTAGACATTGTGATAAGAGTTCTTGTGTTTTATTTCTTTTTATCCTCTAGGATCCCTATGAAATAGATACTATGATATTGCTCTTTCAGGAAAGGGGAAGCTTTGGCTTGGAAAGGTTGATTCTTCCAAGCCCAGATAGCTAGTAAGTGGCAGAGCCAGCATGGGAACCCGGGCTTTGGAGAGCCAAGTCCACAAGTGTTTAACTCTTGGGATTCTCTGGTGCTTCGGGGAGACAGCAGTTCAAGGAATCCACCTTAAGCAAGTCACCGAGGTGCTCACAGTTGGATGGATAGGCAGGAAAGCAGTGGCTGGTGACTCTGTCCTCCAGCTCATAGTCCCACCACTGCCCGCAGCGAGCCAAGTTGGAGGCTACCATTGCAGAGGCCGAGGAGCATGGGGAGCTGGCCGTCAGGGATGCTCGCGCCAAGCAGGAGGAGATGGAGGCCGCCCTGCAGCAGGCCAAGCAGGACATGGCGCGGCAGCTGCGAGACTACCAGGAGCTCCTGAACGTCAAGCTGGCCCTGGACATTGAGATCGCCACCTACCGCAAGCTGCTGGAGGGCGAGGAGAGCCGGTGAGGAATGGGAAGCGAGGCCGGGGATCCGGGCCTCAGTGGGATCTGGGCCTGATGTACAGCTATGTACCAGCATTTTCTGTGTGTCCCTTGTCTGCAAGGCACAGGGGTGGGAGGTACAAGGAAGGATGGATGCTGCTTTGCCTTAAATGAAACAACCTTCTAGAAGGAAAGGTCACTTAGCATAAAGCCCCTTTGCATGTATGGGCATTCATGGGGTATCTTATTTGATTCTCAGAACACAGGGAAGCAGATCAGATATTACTGACTCCCTAGTCTACTGTTATTAATTGATCAGTCGGCACATAGTCAAGGAGTGCTGATTCCTGGTCCGGCATCTTCCATGACAGCAGGCTGCTTCTCATGACGTAACTCAGCTAAATCAATGTAGTACTGTCAGAGTGTGCTAGACAGGGAGAATTCCTCTGTCCCCAGACATATGTGCATACTCACCTACAGTGGGAGAGGAAGCTGGGATGGGTTAGTCTTGAAGGATATTCTTCAAGAAAGACCAGGTGCCTCTAACAATGGAGTTGGGCCTTTGTTTTCTCCTGGTTGGATTGGTTGAGCCTGTCAACAGATAAGGCTTTACAGTGGGCCTCGGGGGGGAAGTTAGGATTTGGAGAAGTAAGAAATAACAGCCTGGCAAAGGCTGAGGCTCATCATGTTTGGCTTTGGCTTGTTAGAACCCGGCATGCAGATGGATAACGTGTAGACACGCTTCTGCCCTCAGGGAGGTGGCACATCTGCTGAAGAGATAAAACATCCTCAAAGGAAGTAGTGAATAGTACCTTGTATTTTAATTGCTAAATTTATTTTAAAAAAAGAAAACAGCAAACTTTCTTTTCTGAGCAGCATTCCTGAGGGGTTGGGGAGGAGGTTGGAGGATGAACAGAGTGGAAGGAAGGGAAGGGAGAATGAGGGTGTGTAGGAGCAGAGAGCCTGGAGAGAGGGGAAACCATGGCAGCAGGTATGAGCTGGGAGGCAGGAAGGAGGAGGAAGGGCTCTGCCCCGGCTCTTGACCTGTCCCTTCCAAGTCTTTGTGAGAAGAGAGATGCTGACCAGGGCACAGAGCAGCTCCAAATAAGATGCCTCTCTCTGCACCCTCTTCCTCCATGGGCATGGGGGGACCTCAATTTCTTGAGAACTCTCATGCTGGGCCTCTTTTCCTTATAGAAGTCAGAGCTAGGGGACCCTTAGAGTAGGACCTGAACCAGCTTCCTTCCATGGGCAGATGAGGGGACTGAAGTTCAAAAATGATTAATGGCATACCCAAGGTCACACAGCAAGTGGAGACGCCCTCTTCTGAAGGCCTAATCTCAGTTCAAATTGCTCTCATCAGGCTTAGATCTTGGTGCTTGGAGAGGAGACTGGCCTTCCCTATCCTTGGGGCACGTGGAGATGGACACCTTCCTTTTATCTCTTAGCCTGTCAGCTTTTTTGGGGCAGATCCAGGGTCATGATCCCCAAACTCTTACAATTTTGGGGGGGGGTGCTTCTTTGAGAACACAAAGTTACAAATATAAAACTAGGCACAAAAATACTTAGAATGAGAAAAGAAAATCACCCAAATCTCTAAGGCTTGGACATGCAGCTCTCTTCCCTCTGAGCCCTCTAGGTGTTGTACCAGAAATTCTTAACACAGGATTGTTGCTTGGTGGCAGGCAACTCACCCTGTTCTCTGCTTCTGGCAACTCCAAGCACTTGCAGGGGTTATATGAACAACCATCCTGGAAGCTTCCAGAAAACACATCCCTTGTCCCCTTCTTGGGCTTGAGGCTGCTGAGACCTACCGAGCTCCCCTCACTTCCTCTGCTAAAGCAAGGTGCCCCTCCCTCCTGCAGAGCAAACTGATCCCCAAGGCCAAGGGCTTGGTGACAATGGGGCTGTGAGTCACAAAACAAACACACCCAGCTGTCTCAGATGGATTTTTAATTTCCACTGCAAGACCTGTTTCAGCCCCACAGGCTGCTTAAAGCCACCCCACCTACCTCACCACCCTCCTAGGTCCTGGCTGGAGCTGCATTCAATCAGTCAACAATTCACTAATTATTTCAACACATAGTAAGTAATTATTGTGTTCCGGGCCTCGTGCTAGGGGCTGAGACATGGGAATGAATAGGCAACAACCCACTTTTAGGACTTTATGATCTGGTGAGGGAAGGCAAACATGTACATATATAATAAGTGCAGCTACCATTTACCAAATCCTGGGTGTGCAGGGCTTTAGATAACTTCTGTAACTTAACCTTCACCAACAAATCTCTGACCTTGGTCCTATGTTAGATCCAATTTATAAGTGGGCAACAAGAGGTTGTGCAACTTTGCCCCTGAGCATGTGGCATGTGAACCTCCCCCACCCCTCCACCCATTTTGCAACAAAGTGGAAGGCCAGCTGGAGGTGTGGGGACAGGAAGGAAAGAACAGGGATCCTGCTGGGGTCTGGAGGGGGTGCCTGGGAGTGCTCCTCCAGTGTTGAGAGCAGAGCTGTTCTCATGGTTTGTCCTCTGTCCCCAGGTTGGTTGGAGATGGAGCAGGAGCGGTGAACATCTGTAAGTTTCCGGCCACCACTCTGTGCTGTGCAGACTTGCTGGGTCACTAGAATGACAGTTTGTCCTGCGGACCCTGCTTGTGGGGCTGGGAACCTCCTTTCCTTCTAACCTGGCAGGTTCCCTGCAGCTCATATCCAGCTCAGTGGCCTCAGTGTGAAGGGTCAGGGGGAGACAGAGGGGCAGAGTGGGGGAGGGGAGGGGAGGGCAGTGAACCCCTGGGGTGCAGCCCCTGGTTAGAGACTCCCTTTGGGTTGTCCAGTGGAGGGGTCAGGGAGGGAGGCAGCTGAGCTGGAGGGTGGGCTGGGGTGAAGGGATGGAGTCCCTGTGGAGGGCTTTACCAATGGCGCCCTCCTTTGTCTCCCCCAGCTGTGGTGAGTTCTACTGGTGGCAGTGGCAGAGGGCTGGTCTTCGGAGGAACCATGGGCAGCAATGCCCTGAGCTTCTCGAGCAGCGGGGGACCTGGAGCCCTCAAGGCCTATTCCATCAGGACCTCATCTGCCACCCGAAGGAACCTCCGCAACTAAGCTGTGGGCACAGACAACACATCCCCTGCCCACAGTCATGGGACGACTCCGGCCTCCCACCCCTGGCCCTGAGAGTGAAACATAGTCTGAAAACTAATGTCAGAGAAGCTTCAATAAAGAGAATTTCTGAGCCCTGGGTGAGCCCCATGCCCATGCCTGACGTCGGGATTTTATTAGACTGGGCATGGAAGGGGATGGGGAGTAGGGACAGAGGACTAGGCAGGACAGAGTCTGGATGACCATGGTGGTGTGGAGGTGCTGTTCTAAGGGACTGGACTCTTATTGAGGGTGATGCCTTGGCTTCCTCCCAGGGCTGGGCCTGATTCTAGCTCAGGAAACTGGGGAAGAACATAAAGAACTTCAGGCCCCAAGTGGGCACAGAGTCCTCCCCAGTCCAGAGGATGACAGGACTGTTTGCGCCCCTCCCCCAGGCCCTCTGCTGCCAGAGCACATTCCTGTTCTAGTGAGAAGGACATAAACATTCGACTGCCCCAGGCCGGGGTTTCGGGTAGGCCAGCCAACTTTCATGCCAGCTGCCAACAGCCTTCCTGGTGCTGGGTCAGCCAGGCCCTAGGGCCCTGGATGCTGTGTCCGGATGTTCTGTGTCTGGGGTGCTTGGGGGTGATGGACGAGGTCTGTGTGTGCATGGAAGTGGGGTGTCAGAGTCTAAGTCCCTGGTAGGGATCTGGGCCTGGGTCCTTGGGCAGAGGTGTTTGGTCTCTAAGATGGGAGGAGAGGGGAGGGGAACTCTGTGTATCACACCTGGGCTTAAAAGGAGCCTCCAAATGGCAGGACCTCTGACATGGGGGCCTGTGCATCTGTGAGTGTTGAGGGTTTTGTTTCAGAACCTGTGTGTGGGGACATCTGTTCCCAATGGGCAGCAGCACATCTGAAGGATACTAGTGAGGCAGTAGGAGGTCTCCATATCTGGGACCCTGAGGGGTGATGGTGGTGGTGTGTGTGTGTGTGGTGGAAAAGGAGCATCTGAGATATGTTGGTTGCTGTGGGGACATCTGCATGTTTGGTCCCATAGACAGGGAATTTTCCCATGTTGAACTGGGGGGAGGGAGTAGGCATGATGGAAGCAGACCACTGGCGTCCCAGCAGCTATAGGGGACAAGTCCCCTGCCTAAGGTGATAGGAAATCCAAGCTCCTCCCCTCCTGGCTAGAACTCCTCATGGTCCTGCATGTCTGGGTTTGAGGGCTGCTGACTCAGTGTGTGCAGGCTGGGCGCAGGATACCCAGACAGTTCTTTGCTTCCATGGTGTAAAAGGCTCCTCTGCCTCCCCAGGAATGAGACTTGGGCAGAAAGGCCTGGTGGGCCACGGGAGGGGACAGTATCAGAGCACATTATACATGACTGTGAGCTTTATTGGAAACGTGGAGACCAAGCAAGAGGGAAGGGAGGGAGCAGAGGCGTTGATGGAATCTTGGCCCCTCCCAAACGGAAACGCAGCCTGTCACCATAGCTAGGCTTGGAAGGAGGAGGAGGCAAAGCGCAGGAAGGTTCCTGGGGCCAATCTGTGAGAAGCCACAGGTGTCCAAGCGCCCAGAGCAGCCCAAATTGGGATCGGATCTTTGCCCAAGGCGACAAGGAAACCGGTCATTTAGACTCCTGGGGGTGGGCCAGCGGGGCCAGACCTGCGGGCCAGGAGCCCGGCTCTTCCTGGAAGACGCCGAGGGACAAGTGCGGAAGGGGATGCAGACCGGGGCGCACGGCAGTTTGGGCAGGCCAGGCCGCTGTGCCCGCAGCCCTTCTTCCTCCTCAAGTCCGGAGCCTTCGGAGCTCCGGGACCGCGGCGGGGCGCAGGGACTGTGGGCTCGCGGAGCGGGGTCTTCACACAGCCGGGGCGTTAGGCGAAGCGCACGGAGCGGCCGCTGCCACAGCTCTGGCCGCAGGGCGCGCACATTCCGGTGCTCACCGCCAGGTTCCCGCTGCACTGGGCGTTGCAGACGCTGCCGGTCACTGGCCGGGAGCCCGTCAAGCAGAGGTCCCCGCACACGACTCCTCCCCGGGAGCTGCTGACACCTGTGGGAGGAGGCCAATGCTTAGCCCCAAGCGAGGTCCTGGCCTGCCCCCCGCCCTTGCTGGCCAGAACCCCTTTCCTAGCTAAGGCTCCTCCTGTAGATTTCTAGTGCCTTCTCCCACACCATCACCTGGGCACTCCCTGGAGTCTAATTTCAAGTATCCCTGATACACTGTTGGCCCAGGAACTCCCCACAGGCAGAAATAGCGACTTAAACGACCATAACCACACTGCCCTACCCTCTCCTTCTTTTTAGTCTCTTAAACCATGGCTATATGGTGATTTCCCTTTTGTTGGAACCCAGCCATTCCTGTTTAGAATCGGCTATGACTGTGGCTGCTTTCATATTACCAAAGACCACACCGCCTGCAAGGCTGACATATTTACTATCTGACCCCTTAAGAAAAAGTTTGCCCACCCGAAACTCCAAGCCCTTATTTCCAAACCCACAGTGTGGCTTACTTACAGACATTTACAGAACCGATGCCCTCACACAACCTGGGGAAAGCAAAGAGACAAAAATTAGGAAGAAAAAAGCTGCTGAAATGTTTTGACCTACAAATTCCCTCCTGTGTGTTGATGCAAATTAGATGCAAATAATATGCCAATGAGCTCCTGACCCTTGAAGTGCAGCAACCCTACTTGGGGACATTGAAGAGGCACCCTCTCCATAGGTGGGGGACCCACCTCTGCTCCTCTCCCTCCAGCAGGCGCCTGTAGGTGGCGATCTCGATGTCCAGGCCCAGCTTGGAGTTCATCACCTCCTGGTACTCCTTGAGCAGGCAGGCCATGTCCTGCTTGGCCTTCTGCAGGGCGCCCTCCAGCTCAGCCAGCTTGCAGCGGGCATCGCTCAGGGCCGCCTCGCCCTGCTGCTCAGACTGGGTCACTGCGGTCTCCAGCTTGGTGTTCTGGGGGCAGGGGAGAGAGTTATTCAGACCCCCTGTTCTGGGTTTAAATCAGAGGCCAGGCTTCCACTGATCGATGACTCTCAAACGAGCCTATTCATTTGTTAGGAATTGCAAATTCATGCTCCCGGGGAACATAGGCACAGTGGGCCTCAATTTTGGAAATTTAACATAACAATCCAGATTCTGGGTTTCTTTTGAAAAATCAGGAGATCTGATCACACTAGGCCTGCAGTTCTGTATGGCCTGTCTTGGGGAGATCTGGTTGGTTTTGCTCTTTGTGTTTTCCATGAGCCACAGTCCCTGCCATACCCCCATATCCAGGGCCTTGGGTACAGCCTGCTTCACCCATTCATTAGTGTCTGACGACATCTGAGGGTGTGATCACTGATCCAGAACACGGACCAGAGAGGGCAAATGACTCTCCCACCTCACATGGTGAAAGGGCTGGTTGGGGAGCCCAGGTTTTCTGCATCCCTGACCAGTGCCATTTGCTCTGTTCCATTCTGCGCCTGGGTCTAGGGAAGCCCTTGTCACCTCCTTTCCCTCCACACTACCCTGCCTTTTCCATTCAGTGAGAATGTAGAGCATTTTTCATGAAGAAGACGGCCTGATGTTTGATGTTCACTTCTCTTCTCACAAAGTGGCAAGATGTCTGATTGAAATTCCTCTATGCAGGCTGACCCCACTCTTCCCACACTGAGGGGGACCTGGGCTCCTGTACCTGGCACTTGGCATTCTCCACCTCGGCCGTCAACCTCTGGATGATGCGGTTCAGCTCGTTGATCTCTTCTTTGGTGCGGCGCAGGGTCTCCCCGTGCCTGATCACTGTGGCCTTCATCTCCTCGCACTGGGGGGAGGCAGAGATGCTCATGAAGCTCAGCATGGGACATCCCACCCACTTAAGACATCATTGATGTCTATGTAGGTGGTATAGTGCTCAACTTGTACAACCAGACATGGCAGCCATCTCAACCTGAGAGCTGTCAGCCCTTCTCTTGTCATGCTTAGAATAAAAGAAGGCCTTTCTAAACGATACCTCACACCCCTCCCACTGCCATGCGCAGAAGGCAGGTGTCCGGGGCCTCTCACCTTGGTGCGGTACCAGGACTCAGCCTCAGCCCTACTACGATTGGCGATGTCATCATACTGAGCCTTGATCTCAGCCACGACACAGTCCATGTTCAGGTCGCGGCTGTTGTCCATCTTGACGACAACGGAGGTGTCTGAGATGTGGGAGTTGAGAACGCGGATCTCCTGCAGGAGGAGGGGAGGGCAAGAACTATGTCCAGAGTCTGACTCTTGGCAAATTTAACATAACAATCCAGATTCTGGGTTTCTTTTGAAAAATCAGGAGATCTGATCACACTAGGCCTGCAGACCATCTCACAGTCCTTCCCTGACCCTTCCCCTGCTTCCTTCCCTGTGCGAAGTCCCAGTCATAGTCTTTCCTTGAACCCCGGGACCCCACCACACCCCTCAGGCCCAGAGTCCTGGGGCTGAGAGAAGAAGGTAGAGGGAGTCCAGGTCTGAGATCAACTGTCTGATCTCAGACAGGGTCTAGGACCAGAGCTGACGTCCTGTAATGATTGTTAACACAGTAACCAGGAAGTTACCACTTGTCAGGGCACAGGATACAAGAGGTCAAACTCTCCTTCTTCACTCTTGATAGCAACCTGCCCCAGTCTCTCAACTACTCTGTGCTCCTGACATGCTGCCTTAGGGCTTGGAAGTCAAAATGGTGATGAGTCCTTCCCAAGCCTAACACCCTTCTTGCTGCCCCCTGCTCTGAGCCCCTCACCTCCTCATACAGTCGTCTCAGGAAGTCGATCTCCTGGGTCAGGGCCTCCGCGTTGGCTTCCAGGTCTGACTTTCTCAGGTAGGCGCAGTCCACGTCCTAAAGGGGAAAGATGGGCCAGGTGTCTCCCTGGGAACACAACCCAGAACTCTCACTGTCCCCCCAGCAGGCTGAGCAGACTCTTTGGGAAGCTCGCTTGGATGTCATCCTAGTGTCTGGTGTCATGGCTCAGGCAAAGCCCTTTATGAAGCTAGTGGGCTCAGAAGCAGGTGTGGGGAGAAGAGGGGGTTCCCCCAGGTTTCCAGGCACTTCCTCTGGGACCACTAGGATGATTCCTCTAGAACTCACACCTTGCATTATCACCCAAGCTTAGGATCTAGTGTGGATGCCTCACACCTCTCTGCTCTGGATCTCGTGCAAAGAAAAATCTAGATCTGTGGTCAGAAGGGTGCTTGGCCATCCAGACTGCCCCTTCCAGCCCAGGGCAACTCAGAGCAAGACTTTCAACTATGTGCCTCATTTTGTCACACTGAGGTGGCTGGAAGGAGAGGCAACGTGGTGGCACTTGTGCAGAGTTAGACTGAAGAGGTGAGGAACCACAGCTGCTGTCCAGCTGTCACCGGCCTGAGGCTGTCGGCATTGCCTGGCATTCAGCAGCTCCTTCAGTCATGGGTATTTATTGAGTGCCCAATCTACATCAGGCACAGGGCCCGGGGAACTGGGAAGCCAGTGGCCAGATGGACAAGAATGTTGCCTGCTTGAAGTTGGCCCTGCACTTGAACGTTGGGTCTAAAGGGGAGCTGTGGAGCCTTTGGGAGAGAGGAACAGGGGCGAAGTCTTTCTGGGGGAGCTGTGACTCTGGGGGAGCTGCTCAGCCTCTCAAATGTACACAACTTTCTGTTGCCTCCGCCCTCGGTTCAGATGTGGGATGAGTCCTCTGGGGTCACTCACCTTCTTCAGAGCCACAAATTCGTTCTCAGCAGTGGCCCTCAGTGCCACTTCCTCTTCATACCTGAGGACCCAGGACACAAAGCTCAGATGAAGAGAGAATAAAGGCCCAGACAAGCACAGCCCAGAGCAATGAACTAGAAGGGACCTTGTCTATTCTTGTGCTCTGGGCATTCAAACCAGCCTGTCACCCAAGGCTCTTCCAGTTTCAGGGATTCTCATTGCTGATGTGGTTCCCGGGTGGGTGCCTTTGAAGGTGCATGTTCTGTTTCTGGACTGTGACTCCCTGAGGGGCAGGAATTTGCCCTAGTTCTGGTAAAACTTTCCCCTCTTATTTCATTTTTTTGTGTGTGTGGTGCTGGGGCTTGAACCCAGGGCTTTATGCATGTGAGGCAAGCACTCTAACAACTGAGCTATATCCCCAGCCCTGCTTTTCCCTCTTCCTTACTTTATTATCCCTCCCCCACTCAGTGCCTAACACAGCACCTAGAATGTTGAATGGATGCCCAATGAATGTTTGATGAATTAATGAAATAAATATATCATGACGAGGTAGCTGGAGTAGCTCAGAATCTCTCTACGACCATAAACTCCCAACCCAGAAAAAAAATCCCTCCCCTTCAGAGGCTTATTGTCACTGTCTTCTTTCTATTGGGAAGTTCCTCTGGTAGTCTAATCCAAATTTATCTTGTCTTGACTTAATCCTGTTTTATTTCTCCAAACCTGCTTCCCCACTGCACTCACTTCTTCTTGTAGCCCTCCAGCACCTCCCGCACGTGGTTGAGCTCTGAGGCCAGCCTCCCGCTGTCGGCCTCCACACACTCGGCCTCCCGCCTCAGGGTCTCAATGTAGCCCTCGAACAGGGGCTCCAGGTTGCTCTCGCAGCACTTGCGGTTCTGGTAGAACTGCAGCTTGGTCTCCAGCAGCTTGTTCTGCTGCTCCAGGAAGCGCACCTAGGGTGGGAGTGGGAGAAAAGTCTGCGAGAGGAACCAGCATGCCCTGCTCGCCTTAGAGAAATGGCAGAGTCGAGACAGAACCAGCAGCAAAATGTGTAGAGGCCAAAAAGTGTGTAGCGGCCAAGGTGGATGTCATGGTTCTTTCTGGGCTCTCCTGACCTGAGGATGCACCTGTGGAATCCTTGTTTCATGGCTGAGCAAATGAGAGACATAGGATTGTGCTGGGTTACTGTGGGGACAGGTAGCCATGGAGGATAGTGACAATCATGAAAGGCTCCCCAAAGCAGTACTGGGCAGGATTAAGTAGGAAGGAAGCCTTCCACCATGAGCTCCCTCAGTGCAGACCCCTGGCTTATTTATGGATGTCCTTGGGGGTCAGCTGGGGCATGGTGGACAGTTGCCCAACAGTCAGGGTGGGAAGGGCTTCCTAGTTGGGGAAGGCAGAGAAGTTAGACTCTTTCCAAGCAGGATGCCCGAGGTTGGAAGAAGCCTGGGGAGATGTGGGTATGTATGGTCGAAGGTGGCCTACACTCATATAGGATACAGTGTCACACAGCTCTGGAGGCCAGGTTGACAAGGTGAGGCGTGCCACCCTTTACTGGAAGTCATTCAAACTGGAGAGACACAATGGCAGCAATACACTGTGGGCCAGGAAGACGGTCAGCAAACAAGACTAGGCCCTTGGCCTCCAGGTTTCCACTCCTCATGCATTTCAGGTGGAGTTGAGGTGCCTCCTTGCCTTTTAGCCTCGGGACCCTTCCATCCAACTCCTTGAGTGTGGCTGGGAATTCCCAGGCTGGAACTTCCAGATGAGGAATAGAGACTGTTGGTACTTTATGGATAATTTTAGGTGGTCTTGGCTCATAGGATCTCATGGCTACCTTAGCCCCATCTTCCCTTTCAAAATCATGGCTAGCTCACCCACAGTCTTCATGGGGAGGATGCTGGGGTGGAGCTCAGGCCGGGACCTTTTCCACATGCCATCTCTTGCTACCTCCCTAGGATGCTGTCCGTGGAGGCATGCTAGCCCCTCCTAGAGGGGAATGGTGCAACTGGGGATCTAAGCTTTGGACCTTCTAGCCCCAGGAATCTGTGGAGCAGGAGAGATCCTGGGCCTGGAGTCCTGCTCTGGCAAATCTTTCTGTGAGCCTTTGGTGGTGGTGATGGGGGTGGGGGGTCCTTGCCTTATCCCTGCCCCTTTTCCTTTCTGTGTACACTCAAAGGACTGCACTCTTGGCAGCAATTCTTAAATATCCACCCTTCACAGGCTGACTTCAGAATTTTGCTTCCCTCTGTGCTATTTTACTCATGTGACATCTCTAAGCATATTCACTCAGTGAAATCTGTAAACATTTACACTGAGGGAGTTAAAGTGGTAACTTTATGTTACCACCACAGAACCAGCATCACTAGGCAGGCACAAGGAATTCGCAAAACAAATCCTAGCTGAAACTATTGTCCCAGACAGCTCCGAACCCAGGGCTTGCTGTCTTTATTACAAGCAGAAGGGAAGCAAGTAGTAGATGTCACACACATTGCCACTCAATGAGATTTTTCTCCAGCTAC